GCATCATTCGCTAATTAAAATAAACAACTACCTCGACTTGCTAAGTGTTAGAGTAGACATGTGATTTAAAATGTCAGCCATTTAAAGAGGTTTGGGTCAGCTCCAAAATGTATTTTGTCAGCAAGTAAAGTGAATTGAGCTGTTCTAGTGGTCGGCAAAAATAAATTAATCAGCAAATAATGTGGTATTAGAGCAGCCTTCATATTGATGTCTTAGGAAATTAAATATATTTGTAATAGAACAACAAATCGTGATTAGGATTTTATCACATTTTGGAAAGCTGTAAAATAATTTTTTTAATTTACTATTTAATTTTATTTCTACAGCAACAAAAGTGCGTAATTTTTTTGCTGCATTGAGCTATTGTAAAATTGTTTATTACATTCATTAATGGACTGACTACTCTACCTACTGTTTGAAAATAAAACTAGGAAACCTAACCTAACCGATTGTACAATCCAGCTGACATCGTTGATTTAGTTGCTGACATGGTCATTATATATTGCTGGTGCCTTTTTATGGCTGCGAAAATCATAAGCTGTCAAAATAACTTTTCAGTTGGTTTTTCTGACCGAATATTTAAAAAAAAAAGTACCACTTTATTACTTGACTTTTTTAATTATAAATCTTTATTTGCATAAATAACATAACGGTATAAGAAGATGTAACAGTTTCTCCAGTGCAGTCGTGATTCGCTAACAATAGAGAAGAATACTAGAATAAAGCACGCAAACTATAATTTTAAACTGTTCTTATGTCAAAACTAGCTGTTCCTCGCGACTTTGCCCGCGTGTAATTTATTACTATTGGATTTGATGTTTTAATTTCTTTTTTGCGCGGGAACCTAATTCTTTTTCAAAAACAAAAATAGCGTAAGTTACTGCGTATAACCTGAGATGTTTTTAAAGTATAGATACGTCATACTCGCTCTAAAATGGCAATACGAAACTCAGGTAATTGCCCGACTCGCATTAAGTCGGGCACGCTCTGGCGTCGCGGCTATACTTTCGCTACAACGCGTAAATATTCTAGTTATTCGTGGTAAAAATGCCTTCCTGTGTTTTTAGGTGGTGCACAAATTACACGGCAACTGTTAGAGACAAGAAAAACGTCTCAATTTTATTTTGAACCACTAGTGTAAACTTTAAGTGTGTTCATTTCCATATCGGTATGTCAATACGCAACTAATGATGTATATTCATCTTTTTCTAACGATAGGTATGCCGTATCATTTGTCTCTTTTTGTTAGCGCAACGTGTCATAATAAATAACTTTACGTAGATATAGTACTACCTGCGCCACTTTAAAATACAATAATGTTAGCGTGTAACCTGTCTTTTTTAATACGTCTTTGCTTATAACATTGGCTATGTGCCAGTGAAAGTCCCGGCAAAATCGGTTCAGCCATTCCGGCGGTTAGCCGGAACAAACAGAAAATTAAAAAATTGCGTTTTGGTTATAAGTACCATAAATAGGTTTCATATGCATTTAGTAAAACGCCGTTTTCTTAACATTACAAACAGACACTTCAATTTTATTTATTTGTATAATATAATTTTCTACTATCAAAAATCTTATAAGATATAAAAGCTTTTAGTTTTTAACCAATTATTGAAATGTTCTTCCGTATTTAGACAATTTTTGCTAAGTAAGTGCCCAGTCAGGTGGTCCTAGCCAAAATGAGTAATTAGTTCTTACTTAATCAATCCAATACCAATCGTGCTGCGCTTGTAATATAATAATGTTAATTAATTTCATTAATATTTTATGTTACAATTAAGTTTTTCCACACAATGTATATTGTTTTTGGAATAAATGACTAATGACTAAAATGTAACAAAAACTCTGGGGTTCCGCTAAATCAGTATTCAAACGTACAGAAATAAATTTACTTCAGAAAGTTCGCTATCATAAAAAAATCAAGTTAAATTTAAATATTTTTTTATTTGCAAATAATAAAAAACTAGCGTTGCCAATCTGTCTGCCAAGCGTGACAACTATGGCAAAATTGTCCCTGTGTGGAAATCTATGGGGGAGGCCTAGCCTAGCCTAGAGGTTTAGCAGTGAAACACAAATGAAAAGGATTGCTCTGTCTGTCTATTACTGGTGCTTTTGGATACGTCGTTCTTAACGTTTGTAGGAGAGAATAATTTTTATACAGTATCCTGTATCCCGTCCTATGGGTGTCGTAGGGGGCGATTATAAGATACGAGAAAATTCTTATGATCTACAACAGATGGCGGTATAACCAGTTCGTTTACTGTAGATGTAAAACACCCAGACGGACGGCGGAGAGCAGCGTCTAAGGTGCGAGATGCATGGTGCTGCGATCGTCATTCCTTTTGCCAAGAGTGACGAGCAAGGGCGTCACCAAGGAGGGGCAGGGAGGGGCAGCTGACCCCCCCCCCCTTCCTTAGAGACTCAAAAAACGTAGTCAAATACAAAGCAACCAGTGTTATTTATTGTAGAGTCAAGAGCTCGTGATGCTTTAAGTGTTAGAATTTGTACCGTTCTAATTACAATCACCTAAGACCCGCATTAGAAGTGTAAAGCTTCAAGTGCTCTTGTACCTACACTTTCCCATCCTCTATAGTATAGTTGTATAGAGTTGATATATGCATAGAGTCCTATACTCTTGGTGACGAGTAAGATTAATCCTCCTTATAACGCAAGCGTCATGATGAAGGCCGGACGGATATCAGGTTTCCGTCGATGCCCCTCCCGGCTCTTCGCACCTTTGTCTGATCTGGAGTTTGGTGCCACTCACGCTCCCCTCGCGGTTGCGTTCTGCAGGTTGCCGCCGTGTTTGGCACTACAGGTCGGTGGATTGGGACGGAATGCGCCGCCCCCATGGGTAGAATCTTTGCATCCTGCCCATGGGGGCGCGTTTGCTTCTCGCCGGATGATCCCAGCGCTGTTGCTGACTCTGTCACCGATGTGGTACTACAGGGACTGGAACTATTTATTCCATCATCTGTGGCACCCATCGGTGCATGATCTCAGCCTTGGTTTGGTCGCTCCTGTAAGACTGCATTACGTAGTAAGCAGGAGTGTTATCAGGCCTGGGCTGAGGCTTCGGCGGCTCGGGATTTAAATACCAGCATACTTAAAAAAAAGTATAACTTCGCCTCCAGCTCCTTTAAAAGAGTTATTACCAAGGCAAAGTCACAGAGCACATAGGCAGAATTGGCGAGAAACTAGTTCGCCTTCCTTCGGGAACCCGTGCATTCTGGTCTCTCGCCAAGGCTGTCCAAGGAAATTTCTGTAAGCCATCATTACCATCTCTGCACAAGGAGGATGGCCCACGCCGCAAAAGAAAAAGCCTACCTTTTAGGCTCCCTTTTTGCGTCCAACTCGACTCTTGATGACAGGGGGACCACACCGCCGACCATCCCGCAGTGTGAGTGCTCTATGCCTGATGTGCGATTCACACAGTGCTCAGTACGCAAAGCACTCCTCTCCTTGGACATCTACAAGTCGAGTGGGCCTGACGGAATCCCGCCAATTGTGCTGAGGACGTGCGCTCCAGAGTTGGCAGCGGTTCTAACGCATCTTTTTCGGTACTCCTACTCCCCAGGCGTAGTCCCGAATTCAGTAGACAGCTTTCGTGCACCCGATCCCTAAAATAGGTAACCACTCTGATCCGTCCAATTACAGCCCTATCGCCTTCACCTCCTTGTTCTCGAAAATAATGGAGTCCATTATTAACTGCCAGCTCATGCGGTACCTTGAGGAGCACCAGCTGATTAGTGACTGCCAGTACGGTTTCCGTCGGGGTCGTTAAGCTGGTGATCTTCTTGTTTACCTAACATATAGATGGGCGCAGGCGATCGAGTCCAAGGGGGAGGCATTGGCCGTTAGTTTGGACATATAGCGAAGGCCTTCGATCGCGTCTGGTACAAAGCGCTTCTTTCGAAGCTTCCTTCCTATGGGCTTCCCGAGAAATTGTGCAATGGGATCACCAGTTTTCTGGCTGATCGGAGCATCAAGGTCGTAGTAGACGGTGCATGCTCCTATTACAAGCCTATTAACTCTGGTGTTCCACAAGGCTGCGTGCTATCCCCAACGCTGTTTCTTCTGCATATCAATGATATGTTGCAAACCGGTAACATACATTGCTATGCAGATGACAGCACTGGTGATGCCCTATATACCGGCCGTGCCAGTATTTCTCGGGAAAACGTCGCCGAGTACCGGAACAAACTTGTGTCTGAAGTCGAGACTTTGTTGAACAAAGTCTCGGATTGGGGGCAACTAAATTTAGTCCAGTTCAATCCCCAGAAAACAAGTTTGCGCGTTTACCGCTAAAAGGAACCCCTCTGTCGTATCTCGTCAGTTTCAAGGCACTCCGCTCATTGCCTCAGCCAGTATCGGAATCCTCGGCGTCGACATATCGAGTGACTTGCAGTTTCGTGGTCACTTGGAAGAGAAGGCCAAATTGGCCTCTAAAAAGCTTGGCGTGCTCAGCAGAGCGGGACAGTATTTCATGCCGGCACACCGCCTGCAACTTTACAAGGCCCAGGTTCGGCCTCACATGGAATACTGTTCCCATCCCATCCCATCCCATGGGTGGTGTGTGTGTGTGTGTGTGTGTGTGTGTGTGTGTGTGTTTGTGTGCGTTTGTGTGTGTGTTTGTGCGCGTGTGTGCGTGTTTGTGTGTGTGTGTGTGTGTTTGAATGGGTCCCTAGACCTAGATGGTTTAAATCTTTAGAATTTACATTTGGACCCGGTAGGTGGCGCTGTCGTCGAGATCCAGAAATCACCTTCGCGAAGCCGGGGCGGATTACTAGTCTTCAATATAGATTTATCAATAATATTTATTGAAACTCATTTATGCTTTTACCACTTTTTGAAAAACCTCTGTCTTGGAATGAACCAGCAAGGTGTTACAATTATGCACGTCAATATCATTTTAAATAATTAATTTGGAATTATAGTATATTTTTTAATTGACTTGTTTTTTATTTTACAGCGATAACGCGCAAGTTTAAGGTACGAAGATGGGTCTGCCACACATCACCACCTTCTGCTGGTGCATGGGTCTAGAAGTGGGCTCCAAAGTCATCGGTTACATACACTTGGTAAGTAAATACAGGCGTTAAGAAGTTCCTTTTTTGACTACGAGTCCGTCGGTTCAGGTATCACCTTCTCATCTACATCTGCCATCAGATAGCAGTGCCTTACTTTTTCCCGCTGTGAAGGATATCGAGAGCCAGTATAATTACAGTCTTCTTTGTATGAAATTTTGCTGCAGGTGTCCATGGACTGCAGTGGCCGTTTAACAATCAGGTGGACTGAGGGTTCCTTCGTCATTTCAGTTCTATAAAGAAAACATGCCTCACCTATTTTCTATTAAGCAGTAGTGTGTTCACTGTAATGTTTCCATCAGAAGGGTACAGAGAGTCAGTATGAATTCAGAGGTGGAATTTCGACCTTGTGAGTTACGGCGTGAGAGAATAAATCAAACCATATTTACTTGTGGGTACGACTTAGGGATCTTCAAGAAACGAGTTTACTCCTTTTTAAAAGGCCGGCAACGCATCTGCAATTGCCCTGGTGTTGCGGTTCATCATGGGCGTCGGTAGTCACTAACCATTAGGTGAGCCTCATGCTCTTACGTGGTAGAGTCATGCTGCTGCTAGATTACGGATGCAGTACGAATGGGTCGGCTCGACAGTTGTAAGGACCACGTTCTCACAGAATACCAACGTAAAATAGCTGCTGAATACTGCTGTGTTACGCATGGTGAGTGTAGCGAACCGAAACTCTTTTTACTGGAAACGAGACATTTCAGAGGAAGTCCTCAGTGGTGACAACGCATCTGAATTTTGAATCTTAATTAAGGATAGATGTAGATATGTACGAGCTCCAGCAACCTCTAAACAAGTTCTATGAACGTTGCAGTTTGCGTCATTCACGATGATGGTGTTGTGCTCGGTGTCGGCGGCGAGCGCGCGCGCCTACGTGGGCAGCGCGGCGGACGGCGAGGAGCGCGTGTACTCGCGCTGGTTCGTGGCCGCGCTGGCCGCCGCCATAGCCAGCGCGCTGCACGTGCTGCTCGCCCTCACTCTGCTCCTTGCTGTCCATAAGGTCTGTTTGCTTTGAGAACGGTTGTCGATGACGAAATGATACGCGACATTTGTTCTGTAGGCTGTTTATTACACTGTACTGTAATTGTCCAATGTACTGCAAACGGTTTAGTTCGAAAACTTAAACTAAATGACCTTGGAGGGACTAGAAAACCACACTGCGATTTAATTTCGCATAGCGCCATCTACTTTAAGTTTTGGAACTAAATCGATTGCATAACATTGAACAGGAGTGAATAATTGTTGTACAATACTTAGAATTTAAATGAAAGTAGGTTTTACAGATCTTATCGCGTATATTGACTTATTTTCAACCCCATGAATTGCGACAGAAGAAGAAGATATTATGCTGTGGTCGCAGTACTTCCTATGAAAACGAGATTTACCAGCAGGCAATTTGAAATTCAGTCTGCTCATCTCTATAACTCTATCGGTAAAAACTAAACATATTATACATGCAATGACCCAGCAAAATGTGCAAAAACGGGTTACAGTTTTGTCAAAGATGATAGAGTATGATGAAACTGAAAATTTATTAAAATAAATAGATTTAAAACAATATACACTATAGCATGAATATCTACCTCAAGTACTCACAATACACCCACACACGCACGCACTACACGTACTCTATACTCGCACACACACGCGCGCACACACACATACACACAGGAGGTTGCGTTCTGCAGGTTGTCGCCGTGTTTGGCATTACAGGTCAGCCGATTGGGATGGGATCCTTTTTTTGCATTCTACTCTTGGAGGCGTGTTTGCTTCTCGCCGGATGATCCCAGCATTGTTGCTGATTCTGTCGCTGATGTAGTGCTACAGGTAATGGAACTATTTATTCCATCATCTGTGGTGTACCAGAGCCCAGCCATGGTTTGATCGCACCTGAATTGCATTACGCCATAAGCAAGAGTGCTACCAAATCTGGGCTCACGCATCGACGTTTTGGCGATGCAAATACCAGCGCTTTTAAAAAGAAGTATAATTCCGCCTCCAGGTCCTTCAAAAGTGTAATTATCAAGGCAAAGTCAGAGCACATCGGCAGAATTGGCGAGAAACTAGTTCGCCTTCCTTCGGAAACACGTGCATTCTGGTCTCGCGCCGAGGCTGCCACAAGGGAACTTCTATCAGCCATCTCTCCCATCCCTCTCTACACAGGGAGGACAACTCACTGGCCCATGCCGCAAATGACAAAGTCGATCTGCTGGGCTCTCTCTTTGCGTCCAACTCGACTTTTGATGACGGGGGGAACACACCGCCGACCATCCCGCGGTATGTGTGCTCCTTGCAGGATGTGCTGTTTACCCAACGCTCGGTGCGCAGAGCACTCCTCTACCTGGACGTCAACAAGTCGAGTGGGCCTGATGGCGTCCCTCCTATTGTGCTCCAGAGTTGGCACTGGTTTTAACGTGTCTTTTCCGGTACTCCTTGCAGGATGTGCTGTTTACCCGACGCTCGGTGCGCAGAGCACTCCTCTACCTGGACGTCAACAAGTCGACTGGACCTGATGGCGTCCCTCCTATTGTGCTCCAGAGTTGGCACTGGTTTTAACGCGTCTTTTCCGGTACTCCTACTCCTTAGGCGTAGTCCCGAAATCATAGAAGACAGCTTTCGTGCACCCGATCTCTAAAAAAGGTAACCGCTCTGATCCGTCCAACTATAGGCATATCACCATCACCTCCTTGTTCTCTAAAATAATGGAGTCTATTATTAACAGCCAGCACATTCGGTGCCTTGAGGATCACCAGCTGATGAGTGACCGTCAGTACTGTTTCCGTCGCGGTCCCGATTGGATTCTCCGTTAGTTTGGACATAGCGAAGGCCTTTGATCGGGTTTGGCACAAAGCGCTTCTTACGAAGCTTCGTTCCTATGGGCTTCCCGAGAAATTGTGCAATTGAATCATCAGTTTTCTTGCAGATCGGAGCATTAAGATCGTAGTAGACGGTGCATGCTCGGATTACAAGCCCATTAACGCTGGTGTTCCACAAGGCTGCGTGCTATCGCCAACGTTGTTTATTATGCATATCAATGACATGTTGCAAACTGGTAACATTCATTTCTATGCGGATGACAGCACTGAGTCTCGGACTGGGGGGCGACTAAATCTAGTCCAGTTCAAGCCCCAGAAAACACAAGTTTGCGCGTTTACCTCTAAAAAGAACCGCTTCGTCGTATGTTCTTAGTTTCAAGGCTCAGTGTCAGTTTCTCCTCCTTGTTGCCTTAGCCAGTATCGGAATCCTCGGCGTCGACATATCGAGTGACGTGCAGTTTCGTGGTCACTTGGAAGAGAAGGCCAAATTGGCCTCAAAAAGCTTGACGTGTTCAGCAGAGTGGGACAGAATTTCATGCCGGCACACCGCCTGCAACTTTACAAGGCGTAGGTTCGGCCGCACATGGAATACTGTTCCCATCACTGGGCTGGGGCTCCCCAGTGCTAGCTCCTTCCATTTGCTCGCATCCAGCGCAGAGCCATTCGAATAGTCGGCGGGCGAACTCTTTCCGATCGGCTTGACTCATTGGCATTGCGAAGAGATGTTGCATCTCTGCGTATTTTATCGAATTTATCACGGGGAGTGCTTTGAGGAATTGTTCGGACTAATTATAGCCGCACAATTTCGCCATGGCACATCGCGACAAAACTTGCGGTACGATTTAAAATAAGTTTTCTTCCTCGCACAACTTCCTTGTGGAATCGACTACCACCGATACGCCTTAGAGACCTTCAAGAAAAGAACGTACTCCTTTTTAAAAGGCCGGCAACGTATCTGCAATCCCCTGGTGTTGCAGTTGTTCATGGGCGGCGGTAATCACTTACCATCACGTGAGCCGTATGCTCGTTTACCCCCTCTCCTATAAAGAAAAACATCCTTGGAAGGAGTCGAAGTTTTTTAGCAAGGATTTGTGGTCTGTCAAATCTGATGTAGTGGCGGCGGTGATCCTGTACGTGTTTACAGACTGCAGTCTTCCCGGGCCTCAATTCTTTTGGAAAAGTACTTGAAACGTCGGATATATAAAATAAGTCTATATACGCGATAAAATCCTTAAAAACTAATTCCATTTAAATGTGTAGTTTTCGGGTAAACATAAGAAATCATTATGAATGTTGAATGCTTAGAACTGAAATAAACTAGGCTATTTATTATGTATAAGTATTATATTATAACTTTTTTTAGATTCCGTCGGTGTCATGTCACTTAACTTTTGTACGTATTATAAGCCAGTATACTCTACTTAATTTTTAACTATAAATTGATCAATTTATACTCGTCTAAGACAGGACGCGTTTTTTTTTTTAACATAAATATCGTCATAGACAGGCTTTAATGTCAAATACGTTTCAACCGGCTGACCTATAGTGCCAAACACGGCGGCAGCCTGCAGAATGCAACCGCGATGTTAGCGTGAATGGCACCACATTCCGGACTAGACAATGGTCCGACGATCCAAGAGGGAAGACTTGATATCCGTCCGGATGAGAGGTCAGTAGAAGGTCCAACTGGGAAGGTGCATAGTCCTCCACTGGCGAAGTAACCTGTTGTATAATTAATAGAATCAGGCGTTACTTTGCGGAAATCCATTATATAAAAGCTTTTACAAAAATTTACTTCGCAAATATCCGCGTTATAAAATAAAATGATGTGTCTTGCCTAGTATGAAGAAGCACCTCCCGCCCTCCCTCAATTGCGTGCACTATCCCCGTCACCACTACACTAGGCAAGACACACCACTGACGATAATACGACACGTGTTTCGCCTCTACACGAGGCATCCTCAGGTGATATAGACTCTACGGTGGCTAACCGCTAAGTGAGCGGCGAGCCAAAACAAGTGCCTTTTATACAAACCGATGATGCAACCGCTCTCTACCTAAGGAGCGAGCGACTGCGTCATGCGATAAAATATGCGACCAATCACCGCTGGACTTACGCAGCCGTTTGTAAAATTAAAATCAAACCGCCGCGCAACGCCCACATTATTAGAGAGCAGGCTTGAAGATATTTAAGAGAGGTGAGTTAGTAACATTTGTTTGTTCATTCAGCAATGCAACGGTATTATTATTACTTTTTAATATCTCTAACTGTTCCAGCACACACAGCCGCAGCCCTTTATTGCACGTATGTAAGACTTTAAAGGAGTGGTCGTTGGCTAGGTTGTGTCCAGTGTCCAAAAGATGTTTGGCAAAATGGGATTTATCGGGATTGCAATTCCTGTACGTGGCTAAATGCTCTTTATAACGTGTCTCGAAATTGCGACCAGTCTGACCCACGTAAACGGCGTGGCATTCGTCACAAACAAGTTTGTAAACACCTGATTTTTGACGAATATCCAACTTATCTTTACTATTACAGATATTTCTAAGAGAATTGTTTGTTTTGAACGCCACATGAACGCCGTTTTGTCGAAGAGTATTAGCTACTTTTTCAGATATGGGGCCTAAGTAGGTCAAACTGCTCACATATCGATGAACACTTTGAGGTTGAGGTTGAACTTTGAGGTTGAGGTTGGTGTATATTGGCGCACCAGCTTATTTCATTGCTAAAAAATTAAACCTCCTCCTTCGAGAGAAATCTGGATTCAACCCCACTTACAGCCTAAAAAATGGCTTAGATCTCATTTCCAAAATTAAAGATATTCGTATTCCTCCTAAATCCATATTGTTATCTTTAGACGTTGATAGTCTTTTCACAAATGTCCCATCCCCTGACTGTTTGCGTATACTCGCAGATCTCTTTGAAAAACTTCGTCTACATCCCGGGGAAACAAATGATCTTCTTAACTTAACCTCTCTCTGTATGAAACAAAACTATTTCCGGTTTAATAACCGTTTCTATCTACAAAAAGAAGGGTTAGCTATGGGGTCCCCTCTAAGTCCCCTTATGGCGGACATTTTCATGGATAATTTCGAAAAACAACATATAGTTGTCAATCAAAATATCTTATATTACTATCGATATGTAGACGACATAATTATTTGCTGGACTGGCACAAGGAGACAACTGGATGTTTTCCTCAATAAAATAAATAGAGTCCATGACAAAATTAAATTTAAACTTGAATTGGAACAAGATTGTTCCCTTAATTTTCTTGACTTAACAATGACAAGAAAAGAATCGTCACATGTTTTCCAAATTTATCGAAAGCCAACTCACACCGACACGGTCATCCCCGCGTCATCATGTCATCCATGGCAACATAAAGTAGCCGCTTTTTATTGTTACATTAACCGTTTGTTCACTGTCCCATTAAGTAAAGAAAATTATTTAAAAAATTATTTCAAATAGCGGTCTCTAACGGTTTTTCAAAAAATCTCATTAACAATTTAATTAAAAAGAAACAAAAGCATGTTATTCGCAACTCTCTGTACGCGGTTCAACCTCAAAGTGTTCATCGATATGTGAGCAGTTTGACCTACTTAGGCCCCATATCTGAAAAAGTAGCTAATACTCTTCGACAAAACGGCGTTCATGTGGCGTTCAAAACATACAATTCTCTTAGAAATATCTGTAATAGTAAAGATATGTTGGATATTCGTCAAAAGTCAGGTGTTTACAAACTTGTTTGTGACGAATGCCACGCCGTTTACGTGGGTCAGACTGGTCGCAATTTCGAGACACGTTATAAAGAGCATTTAGCCACGTACAGGAATTGCAATCCCGATAAATCCCATTTTGCCAAACATCTTTTGGACACTGGACACAACCTAGCCAACGACCACTCCTTTAAAGTCTTACATACGTGTAATAAAGGGCTGCGGCTGTGTGTGCTGGAACAGTTAGAGATATTAAAAAGTAATAATAATACCGTTGCATTGCTGAATGAACAAACAAATGTTACTAACTCACCTCTCTTAAATATCTTCAAGCCTGCTCTCTAATAATGTGGGCGTTGCGCGGCGGTTTGTTTTTAATTTTACAAACGGCTGCGTAAGTCCAGCGGTGATTGGTCGCATATTTTATCGCATGACGCAGTCGCTCGCTCCTTAGGTAGAGAGCGGTTGCATCATCGGTTTGTATAAAAGGCACTTGTTTTGGCTCGCCGCTCACTTAGCGGTTAGCCACCGTAGAGTCTATATCACCTGAGGATGCCTCGTGTAGAGGCGAAACACGTGTCGTATTATCGTCAGTGGTGTGTCTTGCCTAGTGTAGGGGTGTTGGGAGTAACGGTGCTGGGATTAGTGGTGACGGGGATAGTGCACGCAATTGAGGGAGGGCGGGAGGTGCTTCTTCATACTAGGTAAGACACATCATTTTATTTTATAACGCGGATATTTGCGAAGTAAATTTTTGTAAAAGCTTTTATGTAACCTGTTGTGTCAGACCATATGCCAAGGCAAAGTCATAAACAGATCATCCCGCATGATCGGTTAGACGTGGAGTGAGTTTATTTTTAAAAGCTAAAGAAATATAATTTATAGTCTTCAAAAAAATCTGAATTTGTTCACAAGAACGCAGTATATTATTATTAAACGCATTCGTAATTATTTGCGTTCCATAACAAAGAGTATATAACTACGTTTTACTAGAGAAGTCCATAGGAATCAAAGAATATGTAATCTAATAAAAAGTACTCTTCTTATGCTATAAAAATAGAGAACAATAGAGGAGACAACACGCCACCTTGTGGGACGTCAGCTTTGACAGCAGACTAATCAGAAAACGTGTCTTGAATTTGTACACGTTGCCGGCGCCGTTGCAAATAACTATGAAACCAACCAATTACTTCAGGAGATATGTTAAGAGAACTTAGGACAGCGAGTAAAACATCAAAGTCTACAGTATTGAAGGCATTACTTAAGTCAAGCTGCAATACTGTAACCTGTTGATTATCCATGCCCAGGCGAATATCATCAGTGATCCTAACCAAAGCCGTAGTCGTACTATGACCGGGAGGGAAACCAGATTGGAATGAATTCAAAAGGTTATGATTGAACAGGAATTTGCTCAGCTGTTGGTATATTAGGCGCTCGAATACTTTAGAGATAAAGGAAAGGATGGATATAGGACGGTAATACTCATATATCGGATTAGATTTTTTAGGGAGTGTAGTTACTAGGTCATCTTTCCAGGATGAAGGAAAAACACTGGTTTGATAAAAAGTCTTAAAAAATCTGAATTTGTTTACCAGAACGCAGTATATTATTATTCAACCCATCTGTAATTATTTGCGTTCCATAACAAAGAGTATATAACTACGTTTTACTAGAGAAGTCCATAGGAGTCAAAGAATATGTTATCTAATAAAAAGTACTCTGTGATAAAATCATTACGTTTTATTTATAGTTTTTCTAAAGTCTAAGATTTTGAAATTAAATTCTAGGCTATGGCAACTGTGTAAACTTATGTGAATTATTGAACTAAGAAAAAAACTTTCATTTTAAAATGCCACAGATTAATAGTAAACCACATAGCTTCAAAAACATATTGCATAATTACTAGATTCCCCGTACTTTTAAAAATATACTGGATGCCGTACTTTATTATATTTAAATAGACAAATGAAACGACGTATGTTTAATCAAGTTACGGTATATTACATTTTACTTGTCCAAGCATGTTAGGAGAGTGGTAAATGTTATTTAAAGACGCATTCACGTAAAAAATGTACGTATGTGTTATTACAGCGCAGTACAGTAACTTTGCGTACGTGGGTGTGTGTGATGTGCGTGCTGTACGTGGCGGCCATCTTGTACGTGCTGGGCTCCATGATCGCCTTCGGTGCTCATGGCTCCGGCTCCGACATATTCGTGTCCTTCCTCGAGGGGGCGCTGTTCTTTGGTCAGTATTTCTTTTTTTTAAATCGATATTTTATTATTTTTGAAGTGAAAACTTCTTTAGAACCGTTGTGATTTGCAACTCGATGAAACGAAAAACTGAGACAAATGAGACAAACATATACATATATATACTCACCATCATGTTAAGAATGCCCATGCTGGGTGTAACGTCATCTTTAAGTGCATACCTTGTTATAAACTGAAGGCCACCATATCGCAGCCTATGATGGGTGACTTGCCACCCGACCGCGTCAGGGCCATTCGACCATTCGCTGGAGTCGGAACAGACTTTGCTGGCCCCTTCCTCGTCAAGTCCTCTAACCTTCGTAACGCGCGTTCACATAAGGCCTATCTTTGCGTCTTCGTGTGCCTCTCCACTAAGTCCATTCACTTAGAACTTGTAAGTGCCCTCAGCACGGAAGCCTTCTTGGGCACGCTGGGCCGCTTCGTATCGAGTCGGGGTTTGCCGGACCTGATCCGGTCTGATTGCGGAGCGAATTATAAGGGCACGGATAGATATTTGAAAGAGGTTGTCGAATTTCTGTCCAGCAACAGGACTTATTTAGGTACTGCAATGTCCAAGTAGTGCATCCAGTGGAAATTCGACCCTCCGGCTTGCCCACACTGGGGCGGTATTTTTGAGGCGGTGGTTAAGGTTGCAAAAATGCATCTCCGTCGCGTTATTGGCGAAACTATTTTGACATTTGAGCAGTTTGCCACTGTATTCTGTAAAATTGAGGCGGTACTCAACTCTCGGCCCCTCTGTCCGCTCTCGTCCGATCCGAATGACTTGGAGGTTCTAACTCCGGGCCACTTCCTGATTGGCCAGCCGCTTAACGCCCTGCCCGAGTACCCCTTCAGGGAAATAAACTCTTCGCGGTTGAGCAGATTTGACTTGCTGCAACAAATGACTCAGAGTTTTTGGCACCGATGGTCTCTGGAGTACCTCTTTTGCAGCAGTGCGTTAAGTGGTCTGACATGACGGATCCTCCTCTGGTTGGAGACCTCGAGTTAGTTAAAGAACCCAACGCTTTGCCTTTGTATTGGCGCCGTGGGCGCATTGTTAAGTTGTCGTATGGATCGGATGGGGTGCCGAGGGTGGCCGAGGTTTTGGTTGGAGATTCGGTCTTGCAACGTGCCGTCGCGACCCTATCCCGTTTGCCAATTTACTCGCGGACATAAGTCCTTATGCCCGGGACGGGGGTTTGTTTAGGCCAAATATTAACATTTGAAACTTGCATTATAGACGCGCGCTCGGCGCGTTCATTCGATGGTACCAGTCACCGCCTGGCACCCTTTCCCACGCGCGTCTCTCCGCTCACCGCTCGGTCGCTCGACGTGTGGGCAATCAATTGTTCGCGGCCGCCGTGTCGGTTAGACGGTCTGGAATTTACGCTCGGAACGTTAGGTCGCGTTAAGACCGCCTCTGATAGCGTTGTCTTATTTCGTGTGTTTTACGTGACAACGAGGCTTGTCTTGAGTTTTGAGTGATTAAATTAACTTCGATTGCCATTAATTTGCGTCGACGAGTTGCTTGTGTGGCATTTTAATATCGTACGAAGGAATTTTGGCTTTGTCGGGTGGAACGCTAAAACTTTATGACCCGAGAGGAGATCGCGTTCGTTTTCGATTATAAGTTTATGCTAAGTGAACATGGGACATTGAACATTGACAGACAGTTCTTAAGTTGTGCAGTGTGTCACTTGTTTTAAGTTCGATTAACGTTGATTTAGTTAAAGGACAATGGCAGACTTTCATACATAAAATTAGTTGAGAAAAAATGGTAGCGTCTATATACCAAAAATATTTTAAAATGTTAAGCGTCAGTCCCTTAATAATTCTGTCAAAGAATTTTGTTCTGAGAAGGCGTCAAAAAAATGATATTTACATTTGAACCTTTTTAGGTTATGTCCTATGTCACTTGGAAAAAGTCATGCTTCCTGTGGTTGTTCGATGTTAGCTTAATACGTAATACATAATTTTGCCTGTATTGCCATAATTTTTAATTAAAGCCACAGAAAAAAAAACATTTTTTGGATTATCAAATGACTTATATCATTTTACTCTATTCAAATGTTGCCATTTAGTATATTCATACTATTTTCGTATATACTTTGTAACACTACCAACACAACACACAAAATATTTTTATATTATGTTATTATTAGTAATTACTGTACTATCAGTAATAACAAAAATAAAAGTGATATGGCTGAGAATAAGTCTCTTACAAAGAATTTCCTACAATAATACATTATCTCAATCATAGTACTATGTAAGAATTCCATTTAATGTTATGCCAACACTAGCTAAAATAAAATGTCACTGTTTTTTTACTGGTTTTACGGCTCTTGGTTCTAGCCCTTCCGAAAATGTCACTATGGTACAAAAGCCCTGGAGCTATGCCAGAAATATACATTTATAGGATACAATAATCTAAAAACTCTCAATTATGTATTAAGCTAACATCAAACAACCACAGGAATCATGACTTTTTCCAAGTGACATAGGACATAACCCAAAAAGGTTCAAATGTAAATATCTTTTTTTTGACGCCTTCTCAGTAAACAATTCTTTGACAGAGTTATTAAGGGACTGACGCTTAACATTTTAAGATATTTGTGGTATATAGACGCTACCATTTCTTCTCAACTAATTTTATGTTTGAAAGTCTGCCATTGCTCTTTACTATATTGAATAAAATTATCATATCCTATCCATTGATAACAATCCACGATTTTACAACTTACCTATATAATATATTAAATTAGTCGCGTTTAGGCCATCTAGCGTCTATGTTACGTACCACCTTTGAGAGTCCAATCAATTTTCATGATTTGTTGTGTTTTTGACGTTTCTCTTGATGGTATGTGACAGTCGCCCATGAACACGAGGGGAATCGTAGGTGCCTAGACGACAAGTTTTTTTATTTGCGTAAGCGCCTTGCGATACTATCTTCATCAACCGTCCCATGAATAAAGCTGTCAAAATTTCTCAAAAATTTTGCCTGTATATGCACAAAATTCTTCACTATGTGCTACGTCACAATGCATCGGCATATAGTGAGTAATTTTGTGAATAAAATACACATGAGATTTGGCTGTATGGTATAAGACTTGTCTGCCTTAATTGACGAATCCTAACAGTAGCAACATTATTATCGACAATATTTTAAAGAAGTGTTTTAATTTTAAAACAATAGCGTATATAAATCCAGTGCGCGTTAGCAGTGATGCAGTAATAACATATTAAGGACGTGGTCCTTAACTACTGCTCTTATGAGGAATTTCAAGGTCGCTCAGCGAGCTCTGGAGTAGCTTTTGAGTAGCAGCGAGCATGTTCGGAGTTCTCTGCGTGATAAACTAAGTAAAGAAGATGTAGATTGCCGCATCAGCTTACTAATCCGCTGTACTGTTTATGTTAATCTGGTTTGACTGCGGATACATCATTGCGGATTCTATCACCGTATAGTGGCGGTGTCAGATTATCCACTACCCGATATTGTCCCGTGGGTGTCGTAAGAGGCGAGGGAAACTGAAGTAGGAGATGGACAGCACCATCTTCATGATAACGACACAAAAAATACTGAGGTTGTGAACTCGCCTGCCAAGCAAGGCAATTATGGCAAAATTCCCCCAATGAGGCAATCTAAGGGGAGGCCTATGTTCAGCAGTGGACATTTATAGGCTGTAATGGATGGATTCTATCACGCAGAGAAACTACAAGCATAGTCGCCATATCATGAATAATGATACAAATTCTCGTTTAAGAATCAAAATTCAGATGCCTTATAACCCCTGAGAACTAAAAAGACGGGTTACTATAAGCTTAACGGTTATAATAATAATTAAAAAACCGTTCGTGCTACAACCATAATATAGATGCAGCATGGCTCTACCACTTAAAATGTTAAATTAAAATATTTTGTCTATTAATCTTACTATTTTCAGGTATACTCGCTTATTGCATCCTCTGCGTCAACAGCTACTACCTTGTGCTCAAGTGCAACGAGGACATGGAGGGGCCCCCCAAGACCGAATATTAACTGGCAACACTTCGCAAACGCACGGCCATATATGTATAGTATTGCCAGCTCCACCGATGTGAAAGAGTAAGAAGCGCTTACTATATTTTATTGTTGTACAAGTGGAAATGTAAAACCGTTTTTATTTGTGTACATTTCTGTCTGGAGTAACTTATGAAAGGTTTTCCAAAGTTTTTGTGATATATACTTATCTATATATTTATTGTTTTTGTGCATTTTAATCAAATTATATTTATATAATTATTGTTTAAGATCAAATGTTATAATGATACATTGTTTTAGTAAGTCTACATAACCACACTTCAAGAAATGTTCAACTTGTTTGTGGAAATTTTTAACAAAACTTAATTTCTAAATGTTTTGTTGAATTTGAAATTATAACAAAGTTTTAAGTGATAATTATATAAAAAAGAGGGAATTATAACATGGACGATTATACCATCGAAAATTTTATTTAGTCTGCTAAATATTAAAATTGATACCATGAAATGATCAAATTGAGCGTTACAGAGTCGCTAATAAACTTAACACTTTAATAGTAATGTATGTAGACTGGAAAATTTATGCCGAATATTTTTATTATAAATGGGAACTAAATTGTCTCATTAAATATGTTAAAATTAATTAGGTAAGATCTGCGTGAAAATAATTTATTTTATTTTATTTCATTCACTGATCACGAGAACCTGAGTATAAGGTATACATAGAGGCACAATACAATACGTTCCATGCAACTCCCTTCCTTCTATTGCGTGCACTTACACTGCCACCACTACGCCCAACATTTCTCTAAGAAAGACACCAATATATGTCTAATACAATACGTGTTTGCGGATCTTAGTTTTTTAATTTTAATATATTATACAATATAAATGGATTGCCACACCGGATTTGTTGCCTCATTGTGAATTATTCTTGTGCCTTGGTGTTCAAACACCATTCTCAGTGACCGTCCGTACGTAGACGACTTTAAAACAGAATAAAATTAATTCCTCTTGTCATCATATGAGTATTTTAAAGAGCATCAAATATAAGAGTAATGTAACAACCTACATAAGAATTAATAACTGGGTAATAATTTTAATTTGACCTGAAAATTGTCTAAACATTTTTCAGGTCAAATTAAATTTTTTAACATTATATGGTTTGTAATCAAATTTTGACATTGTGAGATTTTTATAATGATTTATTATATTTAAGTAAATACTACACATTGAATATAACTATTTTTACGGATTTTATCGTAAATTAAACGCGATAAATTCCGTAAAAATAGTTTTATTCAGCTGCGAGATATTTCTTTAATGATTTTATCTGAATGCCGGCTCTAGTGATGTGCTTCGGCCTACTCTCATTTCTGAGCATATATTTGATTTTTATAAGTCATGATTTTAAATGTTATACATTTAAAAAATTTAAATCTGACTAAGATTGGATTATTCCTTGCTTTACCAATGTTCTGTTGTTAAGCAAAATTTAAACGAAAAAGTTAAACGTTTCGTTTATATTTTATGTTATTATAATTTTACATACAATATTATTTCTATATATATAGCGATAGTTTATGTGGCTTTTTAACAATTTGTAATGTCATGACTAATGTTATTTTTGCCGTTTTAACGGCTATAAAGTAAGTATATGTTGTTAGGGTCAGCACAGATTGAGCGAAGTACTTACCAGTTACCCAGTGTTAAATAAATATCTATCTGATCACATTCAAATAGAGTTGTTAATGGAATGCAAAGTGTAGTTATCTCTAGCTAGCTGGTGCTGGTTACGTCCAAATACATGTTTGAACAGGCACGAGCAGCTCTGTTTAATCTGAGCTGAACCTAACGTGAATGTTGCAATTAAAAAAGTACTTATGTACCTGTGTCAATATATTATTACAGTGACTTATTTGATAAATAATTATCGATATATTTTGTTATTGATAGAGACAACACTAGCGATACAGAATTAATCTAAAAGAGCGAGAGACGATTATGTGTATTAAATGTCTGCGCATGGAAACTATTAGTGGAAGCGACGGATCAAGTCCTTCGATGTTGACATGAACCTCAAATTATTTTGTTTGCTTTTGGCCAAATACTCAAACCCTACTCTATTTTAAGATGTCGTAAGTCTCGTGGTGTCACACTAACTTTGACTTGAAGTGATAGAGACAGTACGACGCCTTGGTAACTTGAGTAACTGTCGTCACCAACTATTCGCTAGGTCAATCTGCCGTCAAAATCTCCCAAGAACCTCTCAATGTGACGTATCAGCATGTTATAAAGAGGTTTTTGAAACACAATATAACCCGTTACAGTCTATTACAGTACTGCTGAATATAGGCCTCTCCCCATAGGGGGATAATTGCCACAGCTTGACAAGCGGGTCGACAACCGCAGTTTTTATTTTTAGTTTTTATTGCGAAGAGGCTGCTGCCCATCCGATTTGTTTCCCTTTGTCGCCTCTTACGACTCCCACGGGATCATATAGGGTAGTGGAATTCTTACACCGCCAATACACAATATTATAAGGGATATTATCTTATTACTTGACACTGGCAAATGTATATTTGTACGAGTCTATGACCAAAGAAAAAATAGTGCGAGACGTCTGACAAGAAATAGTTCTCGGTTTCTGTTGCCAAAAGGTACTGTTTAGTGTTAAAAAAAATTGAATGATTAGAGTTATGAAAACAAAATCATCACGCACAATTTATTATTAAACTAAAATATGGCCTCCTAGTGTGAATTATGTTGACAGAAAATTATAAGACAAGCTTTTTTTAGGGACTATTAAAGACATGAAAAACAAAACAAAAAACTAGAATCTCACATAAATACTGTCGTGACGACGTTCCGAGTATGTACCACGTACAAATAATACTCCAGTAAGTTTATATAAATAAATATTCACACAAAAAGTGAACTTCACATAAAATCTCTATTTCTCAAATAGTTTCCAGTGAGAGTTTCTAATTTACTGGTTAAATTAATAAAAAAAACGTAGGGTATAGGTTAAAGAAGTTGAGAGCCAACTAGTTTTTCATTGGTTTCTTATATATTTTATTTATTGGTTTTAAACATATGTTTCCGCCTAAGTGAATGTTTGAAAGCATTTATTCCAGTGCATATTTATAGATTTGAGCCCATTAAAAGTTTTTAAGATTCAAGATTGCATTAGAAAAAGTAGGATAAGGCGAGGTAAGAAACGAGAAGAGAGTAAGGTGAAACAAGAAGTGTTTTTAGATTAGATAGAGAATTTTTGTAATGTTTAAACAAAAATATACTTTAATAGTTAAATCATTAAAATTAAAAAAGTTATTAACTAAAGTCAAAGTCATTATTAAGTAAAGTTATTAGCATCATTCAGAGTTCAAATTTTAATGTGCTGTGCCCTTAAATCTGAGGCAGGCAGAAAAGGGGGCATATTAAAAATAATAACATTTAACATGAAAAATCAACCCAGACTAAATGTTTTCATAATAACTCCTGGGAAATAATGTATTACTCTTTCAGAAGAGATTTGTCATAATTTTTTTAATCGACTTCATAAAGAGGAGGAGGTACTCAATTCGAATTTATTTTTTACGTGTGTTACCTCATAACTTTTTACTGGGTGAACCGATTTCGATGATTCTTTTATTTATTTAAAGGCTAGTGCTTCGCATGTGGTCCCATATAAATTTAGTCAAGGTCTGACCAATCTTTTAATATTAACTTTCGCGCTATATATTTTCTTCACCATTCGGTCTTCACTCATTCGCTCAACGTGCCCAAACCACCGAAGCACGCCCTTATCAATTTTTGTGATAAGGTCATCTTTCAAACCTGCCATATTGCGAATCTCTTCGTTTCGCTTTCGGTCGGCCATAGTAACGCCGCACATGCATTCAACTTACTTTTATGCTTCTTCTGGCATACCCAGGTTTCGCTGCCATATAACAAAGTCGGTACCAACACTGCGTTATGTATTGCAAGGCGTGCACTCTTCGCTACGCCTTGCCTTTTGACTAACGCAGTCAGGGCACCATTGACTTTGTTCCCGGCAGCGACACGCCTGTCCACATCTAAATCACATCTTCCATCCCGGCTAAAAGCACTCCCCAAGTATACAATTTCATTTACCTGTTCTAGACATTCCTGATTTACCCATATTTCACACTTAGTTCTCTCTTCGTCCCTTTCAAATACCAGAACCTTAGTTTTATTAGCATTCAAACGGAGACCTTTAATTTCACATTCCTCTTTCATACACGTGACTAATGCCTGCAGTTCTGCCTCTGATGGTGCAATAAGCACTGCATCATCAGCATACAGCAGACAATTTACTTTTATGTCACCCAATTTCACACCCAAACAGCTATCTTTCAGCTTTTGTAAACAGCTGTCGAGATACAGTATGAACAGCCAGGAAGACATGACACAACCCTGTTTTACGCCCGTTTGGACGCTAAACATGGGTGACAGGTCATGCCCTACCCGCACACAGGCTTTACAGTCACAGTAAAGAGACTGCACAGCCCTTAGCAATCGGCCATCCACACCATACCCCGGCAACAGTTCCCACATTTTCTTCCTTACAACCTTATCAAATGCTTTCTCAAGATCCACAAAAGCACAGAAAATCTTCTGGTTAACAGCCAGAAGCTTTTCCGTGATCATACGGAGAGAAAACATTTGATCCGTGCATCCTCTTCCAGGTCTAAATCCGCATTGTGCCTCCCATAGAAATCTTTCCGATTTCTCTTGCATCCTACGTGTCAAAACGTTAATATTAAAAGGTGTCGAGGTAGACCGAGACTAACTTTCGAAGACCATGTGAGCAACTTGCTCGAAGAGGGTAGGGTCAAGAGTACTCGGATACCAAGACGTGCATGTATGAAGAAGATAATGAATCTGAAAGAAGCGAAAGAGATATGTAAGGATCGTGACACTTGGCGATCTGTTCTCTCTGGCTACCCCGTCAGGGATTGTGCGTGAAGATAAGATAAGATAAGATAATCTGAC